CTCCCACCTCATCCCCCAGTCACACAAGGAGACTGGTGATCCCTCACACTAGCTCTGAGTTAGTTAAACCTCCTCTCCTTCCTACCTCATGTCAGGTTTCCATGCACAGCCAAAGGAGGATATTTTACTCAAGTCCTTTTGCTACAGAGGTGCAAGAAGAAAGTTTCTCCTGCAAGCCTTCCCCTGTCCCGTCCTTAGCAAGGTCTCCCACTGCAAGCCACTCAGGTGTTGTGCTATCCCAAGCAACTCCATGAGTACCAATGGCTGTCAGAGGGGATGAGCAAAGCCAGCACACACTTCCTAGGCTACGGGTTATGCTGTGTTTCTGCAGGAGGGATGCAGTTACAACACACACCACACTCCAGCAAGGCAGGTTTCCTAATGGGAACTGAAGAACATCACCGCTGACTGCGGTACAGCCTGACAGACAATGATCTATCGGCCTGCTGACAAAGAGCTCCACAAACGATGCAATCAACAGCCCAGCATAATTTTTAAGAAATACAAATGAGCAAATACCCCGTTGCCATGGTAACCCCAGGAGCCGGACTGCACGGTTTTGCACATCACCCAATTCAGCTACACTTTGCAACGCAGCAGGACTGCAGCACCAGGGACCTCATTCTGGGACAGCGACCAGGTATAGCTGAGGAGTACCAGCTCTTTCAACAATCTGCCCGAAGAAGCTTCACAGTCACTGGCTCCAGGGGATTCACGCTCACGGTGCCAGTTGGGATGCATTTCTCTCTCACATCACCTGCACTTTGGCTCTGGGGCCTTCAAGGGGGCCCAGTTTAATGCACAGGAACCACAACAGGAATTGCGCTGTTGTTAGATCTGCGCCTTACTTCTGGCCAGCAGTGTCTCTGGCAATTTGCACCCAGGAATGAGAGTTCCCAGCCGCGTTACCAAGTCCCCGAAGAGCAAAAGCAGTTAACACAAAACTTTACCCTCCCTTTTTGGGTAGCTGTGCCACGGAGACCTGCACCAAAAAGGCGGCCAGGGGTGCTGACCCATGGCCAGTTCTAGCAGGAAGCCTGGGAATCCTTGGCTACAAAAGAAGGAGAGGCTTTAGAGATGCTGATAAGGAGGCAAAATGAGCCCTGGTGCTGGCATGAGGCAGCTCCTGTTTGAGCCAGCCCCATCCTGGGGTCCCCCAGCCCCCTCTGTGGGGGGAACTGGTGCTGCTTAACTTTCACTGAGCCTTTGTCATTGCTGGAGGTGCCATCACACCCCAGCAGCTTGCGCTCGTTGTGAGCCCACCCTCCATCACACCTCCAGCTCTTCTCTTGACAGCCGTCTCAGCCGAGCCCCCTGCCCAGCTGAGGGGTGGCCGAGCTCAGCTGTGCCCGGGAGATGCATTTCCCATCAGGTTTGTCCCTGCTGGCTCCCACCATCTCGCTCATTCCCTGGCAGCAGCTGGGAGCAGCTGGTGAGAGGTGGGATGGGAAAACCCTCCCGCAGAACAGAAGGAACATCTTGGTTAAGCCAACATCTGCTGGGACCCGCACAGCGCAGGTCCAAATCCTGCCTGCCTTCTTTGTGCCCTGCCACACACATCTGGGATGCTCTGAAGCTGTGGGGTTCAATGCTAACACCATCACACAGGTAGGCAGCATCATTCATCATACATTTTTGTGTTCCAAGGTTCTATTTGGTGGTGAACCTCACAGCCACAGCCAGTAAATGTCTGTAATTTTCTCACTGAGCCGCTGGAAGCCTTTTTTTGGCCCTGAGATATTTTTGTTCTCTTGTCAAAGAGAAACGCTCTGCAGCATCCCTGCCCTGGGGCAGGAGCTGCGCCATTACTCAGGCAATTAAAACCATGGGAAACCAGGGAGGGGGGAAGGGGATGCACTAGGAAGAGCTCACAGTTCAGCTGTGCAGGCCTTAGCCTCCCAGCAAATTTCAGGGTGAAAAATCATACCGAATAAACAGAGGGAAGGACAGTACAACTCAGCTCAGCCCAGCTGCCTGGGCTGTTGAGATTAGAAACTGGGCAGGAAAACCATCACCAGGCTGCCTGCACCAGGGCTGAGCAGCACCAGTGCAGCGCCTCTCTTTGCAGCTCCCATCCCTGGACATGAGCAGCATATTTCAGGGAATAAAGAATTATAACAGTAGGGGGAAAAGGGAATCAGGGAGCAAATGGTGCAGGCAGGCCCATCTCTCCCGCCTGCCATGCCAAAGCCTCTCTCTCTGCAAGGGCTGGGGTAATATTGTCTCTATAGACCTAGAAATGGGGTATAGGAGGGTAAAAGTGTTTGTCACCAATAAGCAATTGCTTTTGTTCACTCCTAGGCTACATCACACACTCCCCACCCTTACCCCAGCTTTCATGCACCACAAATGAAGATGTTCAACTCCCAAAGAACTGTGATATAAAAGAGCCCTCAGGTACCAGTTGCTTGCAAGTGATGTGCAGGAGAGCTGTGGGAGAGCCCTGTCGCTGCCAGGTTTCCCACTGTCCGCACCATATGGCAAGTCAGGATGGAGAGATTCGGGATAACAGGGGAGTCAGGGGTTATGGGACACACAGCACAGAAAAATAAAGTTAAGTTCAGCCTGAAGAGCCAGAGGCTCCTCCTGGCCACCCAGTCTGGGACCATCCATGCTGAGGGAAAGGGCACATTCTGAATTCCATCAAGCACTGACCTCACCAGACCCACTGGAAGTTCATTAAGGAGGTGAAAACTCCTGTTGTTTTCTGGATTTTATTTGATTCCTGTGAAACAGAAGACACTATCAAGGACAGAGGGTTGTTTTTTAAGTGAGGACCCTGCAGTCAGGGAAGAAAGCCGAGTTGGGGTACAAAACAAAGCCCCTATTAACTTTGGCCCTGACTTTCAGGTCACGTATATTCAGTTCTTTTTACCTGGAAATGAAGATGTTAATTGGAGCTGACAGCTTTCATAGGTTTCCCCATTAGCAATATTTTGAGCCCCAGTAGGGCCCAAGTCTTCAAACACTTTCCCAAGGCAAGGTTTTAACCTTTCTTTTGAAACATCTCACACCACTTGGAGGGGAAAAAAGAAGAGTTTTTGGCTCGAGGCACTCCAAGCCCCAGCCATGCTGAACTCCTGGCTCCTCTGAACCAGGGAACAGGAGGAACAGGGAAAAGAAACTGGGGAGAGGCAGCCTAGGGTAGAGCCTGGCATCAGCACCCTAATGTTCCCTGTCCAGCTGATGGGCTCTGGACATGGCTGAGCCCCAGGGGGATCTGTGGGGTTTCTGGCTCTGCTCTCTGTCATGAGGCTGATCTTCACCACAGGGACTCAACCACACTTCAGCTCCAGCACTCGGAACCAGGAGTCAATCAGAACATGTCCCATGCCATGCAGATGCCCAGCCCTCTTGTTCTCATGCCAGCAACAGGCATAGGACCCATCCGTGGGCAGTCTCTAGAGCAGTGATCAAGATGTGTGCTTAAGCCCTTTTTCTGCCACAGATCGGATCCTACACATCAGTATTTTGTTAGCTGGTCAGATACAAGAACACGTCCTTTTTTACATACTGTTATTATCCATATGTAATGTATTGTCTTCTGACGAAGCAAAAGTCTCAAAGAAACTACATTCAATGCTGTCTCCTGCCTAGGACTGAAAACTATGCAAATTGCTCACTTTCCATGCATGCATATATATATATAAACCATTAAAAATAATACCGTTTTATTTCTAGGCATTATCCTTTTCTGTATTTATATATAGAAAAATACATAATCAAGGTGACAGTATTGCCTTATTTTAGAAACCTGCTCCAACACACACATTCCCCTCACAGCACCACTGTTGTGCCCACCAAGTTGTGCCGTTTCTCCCTGAATGGAAGCGTATTTTAGCTGAAAGCTGCGCTAAGGAAGCACTGAGGAAGCAGTTACGAGCTCCTAGCAAAGCCTCAGTTATTTACCTCATTGTATCCAGTGTAATCGCTCTGGAAAACCTTAGGTTTGGAATCCTATGTGTCTAAGGTGGTGACCTCATGGGAGACCAGACAAGTTTATGAGGGTGCCTTTGCTTGTCTTTGCAGGCAGTGGCTGAGATGAGGCAGCCCAGGTTTGTCCTGGCTGCTCTGGTGCTGTGAGACCCTGGAGCTTTCCCGGAGCAGGGACAGAAGGGACACATCACTCCCAAGAGAAGGCAGCCCCCTCTGCACAGAGCTTCTTGCAAAGCCACCTGGGTGCCATGGGGCTGTGTGGGACCAGAGCTCACACCACAGGGGCTCTGCAGGGAGCACCGGATTTATTGTGCTTGACTGGGACCAGCGGTGCCCTTGCACCCACATCCCCTGAAGGAGAAGCATGCTTCTGTCTCACCAGCACTGTCCTTCCATTGTGCCCTGGCACCACCACAGCCCCACTTGCACCCAAGCCCTGCAAATTCACCCATATGTAAGGACAGGATCCCACCTCCCTGCTAAGTAACTCAGACAAGGCACACTAAGGCCACCAGCACAACCACACACATCTCCCCAGACATGATATACCTGGAAGATAAAAGCACCTCTGTGATGCCAGCATGGAACTGGACATCAGCAATGACCGTGGGGATGACTGTCATCTCACTGGGGAACAGGGTCACACCAAAAGCTGTGAACTCTTCCCCCCTCCCACGGGAAGGTCTGTGAGGGCAGGCTGGCCCTCAGCTGGTGCACATCAGCCTTCACCCACCTGCCTTGTAGTTTGGACAGCTCAAGGCAGCCAGGACCAAACCCTGCTCACCTGCTGCAGGCAGGGATGCTGTGGATGTGTGGGGTGCTGAGTGACTCCACGTGGTGATGCTGTCTGGTTGATGGGGCCAGGTGAAGGACAGGGTCCTTCACAGGGTGCCCAGGTCCCCCAGAACCAGCAGAGTCAATGAAACAAACTCAGGTGTTTGATTCCCCCAACACACCTTTTTAATACGGAGCAGACCAGAGTAAAACCAGGGCCTTTGGCACAAGACTCCATATCCCAGGCAGTCGCTGTTACTCGAGCACTAGAAAGCTGGAGGAGCCTCCACCTGCTGTTTGCTGTTTATTTTAGAGGAGAGAAAAATAACACACACGAGAGGCATTTTGTATAACTTAACAGAAAATAACACTTCTCCTACACTCTTCCTTCCCAGGTGAACCGGCAGAATGATTTCCTACACATGGCTACTCTTTGGTGCTAACAGTTTGGTGTACTGGTAAAATCATGGGTTTCCACTAATACACTGCAATAGTTGATCTGAAACCCAAAGCCAGGCTCAGGCTCGGGGGGCTCCTTTGCTGTTTAATACAGCTCCCATCACTGGTTGCCCATGGGGAGGGTGAGCATCAGGTGGGGGGATCCACAGCACTCCAGGAGGGATACTGCAGCTGGGGTCTGGCTGGGGATGCTGAGCAGCTCCACGCTCTCACCACCCGTGCCACGTCCTGGCTGTTCTTCCCTGCCAATGGAGAGGTGACCCAAAATGAGGGGAGCTTGGGCAGCACCAGCAGCCTCAGTCCAGGGCCAGCGAGGGGATCTTGCAGACGAAAGGGAAGGCTCTGCCACAGGCATTGTCATTCCACGAGCGCAGTGCTACCCCACAAACAAAACAAGACATTAGCTCAGAAAACGCATGAGGGTGTATCCATGCAGCACCCTCCTGCCACTGTGGGAGGCTTTTCCTGCATGTGCTCCCGTTTGCACTGCTCCCATCCCTGTCCTGGGGATGCTGGCAGAGATGCCTGACCCAGGCACAAACATGGTAGCTGGAAGGCAGCTGCAAACACAGCTCTGTACCCTACAGAACATCAGCAGGGTGTCCACGGGCCAAGCATTTACGTATGTCCAGGGGGTCTGGATACACCCGACTGGTCTCCCTGGCAATGAGGGTGGGAAGTGGGATTTTTTGCACAAGCAGAGATTTTTGCACAGTGAAATGCCCCTGGCCTGAGGGAGGGAGGGAAAAGCTGGCAAAGGAATGGGTGTTCCCATGGGCCTCCTGTGTGGGAGGAGAAAGAGGAAAATTTGACCTTTGGCTAAATTTGGTAATTCTTCCAAGTGGATGATGCTCCCCTCCTCATTGACACTGCTACGGGAGGGGGAGCTGGGCTCTGGGCAGAGGGGAAGCAAGCATATGTGTGTGTGTGTGTGTATGGGGTGAAAGATAAAACACATCCCCTCTCTGCAAAGAAAAGAGAAAATAATCAAAAATTAAAATGCAAGTCCTCACCTACCAGCAAGCTCTTGAGAATAGATGAACCGCAGTGGGTTTAATGTACTGACATGCAAATGAAGCTTAAGGTGCCCTCAGTACTGGGCACCTCAACACCACTCACCACTGCTGTGCCGGTACCAGATCTGCACACAGTCCTCCTCCTCTGGGATGGAGTGGATCCCGTCGTCGGGCTGACTGCCATCCCAGTAGTGGTAGTCATAGGAGGAGCCATCCGTCCACTCAAAGTGACCCTCCTGGCACAGGGTGAGCAGAGAAAGCCGTGACTGCAGAGCCGCGCTTGCAGAGTGGGGGTCCCACTCCCATGTACCCCCATTCCCCATGGGAAGAGACTGCCACCACTCAGCAAAGGCCAAGCGGCTTGTCTGCGTTTTACAACTGAACACTTAGGCTGGAAAGCCCCAGCATTCACCGTGTCTCACCAGGGGAAGCTCAGAAATTGAACACATTTATTTTTTAACACACCCACCAAATCCTGTGTTCCTTCTATTTTTCCTTTTCCATTGCTTTCCCAATATCTACAAAACGTTCTCCTGATAGCCTCAGTTTTTCTTTGCTGCATATTAGACTATATATTTCCAACCTGTCAGCTTTGAAAAGCTACAGGGTATCACAAGAAAGCAATGAAACTTGGTGATTTTTGACATTGGAGATGTTTTCAGTTCATTTGCTCCTCTTGGACCAGCAATACAATACTCTTTCCATTAATCCATTCATAAAATATGATGTGAATAATCACTAATTATCAATCTATTCATTCTAGTAACACTTCTCATTCAAAATCAGACCAGAGGGGATGAAAATACAACTTTCCCCCGTGTGCTGCACAACAGACCCTACACCACCACCTGATCAATGGGGCTATAGGGAACAAAGAATAAAACCAAGTGGCTTTCCCAGGGGAAAGCACAGGGCACTGAAATTCTCAGAGCCATTTCCCACATGGCTGCAGGGAGCTCTTGCCTGCCTCAGGTCATTGAGTCCTGTCCAGATGTCGGTGGGGATTCCCGGCACACGGCTGTTCACCAGGTCATACACGAAGACGTTTTCTTCCCAGCTGGAAAACAGAGCAATGCAGAGCCACTGAGGGAGTGAGTCAGGCAAATGGTCACTCATGTCCCTAAGCATTCACCCTGTGGCATGGCCAAATGGGTTCCCCTCGTCTAATTGCTGCTGATTGCTTTCCTGGGTCTGTGCAAGAGGTGTGTAGTGTGGGGAAGAGTGGGGGGAGAGGGAATAGAGGAAAAAGCCTGTATAATCATGTTGTATTTCTTTCCTTTTTCAAGAGTAAAAACCTACAGGTTTGGGGAAATTTAGGGAATAATACATCAGTTTTCCTCCCAGGCCACGAAAGGGCATTTTTCACATTGCCTTAGTGTGCCCAGTGCATGAGAGTTGACCCAGTCGCTGCTGCAGAGGGATGCTGAGGCTGGGACATGACCCTGCAGCTGGCCCAGAGGATGTGCTGTGGGTGTGGGACTCTGTCCCTATTTTCCTTCTTCCCCAGGCTGTGCCAGCGTGGGATGACACATTTCTGCACCCCTCACCTGTGGATGGAGGTCAGCTTGGCTGATCTGATGCCAATGGAGAACTCGGCACAATAGAGGTCAGCTTCAGCCCAGGTCTTGTTGACGGGGAAGTACCGGTAGCAATGGCCCTCGTACTCTGTCCAGAAGAGCGGGCAGGAGTAGGCATGGACAGGCTCCGGCATGGCTGGGGGCAGAGCAGAGGACATCTGGCAGCTGATGGTGAAGCAGCATGGCCGGGCAGCCAAGCAGGCAACGAAGGCAGCAGTTCCCAGCCTGGCTCCCCCTCACCCAGGGCAAACAACTACCAAACACATGCATGGAGAAACCAACTTCTGTTGCAGAAGCCATGCAGAAGTTTGCAAAAGCCAGCCCACATTTTGTCAAATGGGTTTTTTGGTTTTAGCATCTGCCTAAATCAGGATGAGCACTTCAAGACAGTTTGACATCGGGTTAGACAGAGAGTGCTCAAAATAAAGGCACTGATATCTGCTGCTGGGGAAACCAAGATAAGGGCTTCTGTCACCTCTACCAGGCTCTACCGGAGCCGCCGTGCTGGGCTGGGAGCTGATAGTGAGGGGCTGTATGGTTATGGCTGCAATCTGCCCTCCTGCAAGGCCCCTTTGCACCTCCTCCCTTGAGCAACCCCCTCACCATCCCCTGTGTCCCTGGGCCCGGACACAGCCGTGCACGCACGCACGTGTTCAGTTTCAGCCCCATAAATAGCTGGGTGAGGAGCCTGCACCAGGAGCGGTGCCAGCCTATCTGCCTCCCATGGCCAGATAAGTGCTGGAGCCCATGGAGCTGATCTTCCTCCCTCACCACCTTTCAGCACAGCGGGGAAGTCACCCAAAAAGAGGCCATTGAGGGGCAGGACACATTTCTGGAGCCTTTGCAGTTGCCGCTGTGTAAACACTGCAGTGGTGTTAACACATCCCCCTGACCTCCCCCAAGTCCTGCTCCCCCCGTCGAGCAGGGAGGATGCAGCACACACACACACACCACACCACCCAGTACTAACCCCCAAATCTCATGTCACAGTGACTTAACTCTCCCAGCTGCTGGTGTTTGAGCCTTGGGGAACTGCCAGCTCCCCCAGTCAGTTCCTGCATCCCCATGGGGTCCTGGTGCAGGGTCAGTGCTGCTGCCAGAGTGAGGCGGGCAGGGCAGGGGAGCAGGGGGTGATGGCAGATGTCAGATGCCATGAAATTATCCAAGCAGGTAACAGGCTCAAGCCCGGAGAGGTCAGGGTGGTGCTACAGGACCTCGGGTGCTGGGGAATGGCTTTCCCTGAGGGTCTGGAGAGCAAAACCCTGCCAGCAGCAGCATGGGATGCAGGAGCAGTGCGGGCAGCATCAGCAGGGGGAAGAGGAGGCACAAGGTGAATTCAAAAGCAGTGGTGAGAGCATTCCCAGTGCTGAACCCTTCCCTCTGCTAGTGCTGACAGCTCTGGGTGATAATTCCATATTTCATCAGCTCTTTCCACGTGGGGATCTCTGAGAGCTTCACAAACAGCCTCCAGCCAGCCCCTGGGTCCCTCCTGTCACGCACAGTCCCCAGGCAACAAACACAGATGCAAAGAGACTTTTTTAACCTCCTGAGCAAGGGGCAGAGGCCAAGCTGACTGCAGAGCCCTGTGGGGCTATCACCCCACCTCAGCATCCCTTGACACCCCCTGTTGAGGATCTGTATCTGGTAGCAGCTCTGCACCTCACAGCAACAAACCCACCAAGAGCAGTGAGGGGCTCTCCCATCCTCATGGGCTGCAGAGGACAAAAGATAAGGCACACCAGGCTGGGAGAGCAGAATAGCTTTAGGAGAGCGTGGCTAACCTGCAGCTAGCTCAATGGCAATGCAGGGTTCAGCGGTCTGATTCATACATGGACCTCTTTGCATTTGGAAAACCCTTAGAACAGCCCTAGGAAATGGAAATTATTCTACTGTAGCAATAGTACCAGGAGCACTGAGAGGTCTGATGTGATTTCCTGGGAGCCAAGCCCTCCTCCCTCTGTGACACTGGCTAGGGATCCCTGTCCCCACCAAAAGAAAAGCAGAGCAAGGAACAGGGTCAGACTCATGCGATGAGGCTGTAGCTTTACCACCAAATCACAGATGAAGCATGTCCCCCCCATTCAGGAGACAGGACCGGGATCTGGTCTCAGCTTCTGTGACTCCATGTTGCTGCTCCCTCCTGCTGAAGGCACCCCGGCTGCCTGTGGCAGACAGACAACACCATCTCCCCCAGGAACAGGGATTTATTATAGAGACTGCAGCTCCTTGAGGAACTCTTCACCTCTAGCAGTCTGGTGGCAAAATTCACAGGGCTTAGCCCAGCAGCATCCCAGCAAACGGGGCCCTTCGCTCCCAGGTGCTAATTGCAGTGGGAGTCCTGATGCCCTGGCTCTGAGCCACTTCCATCAGCACCCCCATGGCCCATGAAAATCACCTTCCTTCTGTTCAGAGCAGCTGAAACTGAGTCAGAGATGGAGACAGTCCTTCTTTGTTATTCCGTACTGCTTCCCATTAGGTAGCATTAATTTGATGAGCTTCAGTGAACCAGAGGTGCCTGAAGGAATTTAAGGTTAAATATACCAAAAAGGAAAATACAGGAGGTCAGCGTTTAATTAGCATCTTTTCTCTTAGGTCAGGATCAGAGGCTTTGGCTGTCTCTTTGGAGAACTACTGCTCCCAGTTTTACAGGCAGGAACAACTGGGGGTGCTGCTTTATCTGGGGTCTTCCTTCCTTTGTTTATTTACGGTACAGCAGTTTTAATGTCAGGGCCGTGTTTTAATCCAGCGCACTCAGAGTAGGTGTCCTGACCCGGATGAGGAGAAGATTCATATCAGGAAGCCGTTACCAACTCAGAAAAGCTGGAAAATGAGAATTTCGGGCCACAGAGAGTTTCGTGCTCTCTGGGTTTGTGTCAGTGCCAACAAAACTGGAGCCTCCTCATTTCTTTACTAGCTGAGACCCACTGCAGAACCACCGGGAAAATCACTTGTGAGCCTCTTGCAGGAGCTGGCACTGCTTTGCCAGAAAGTTTCACATCCCCAAGTGGCCGCTTTCCAGTTAGAAATAATTCATGGCAAAAATCCCGGCTGGTATCATGAGTTGTTTTTATTCCAGGATGATACTGAACAAGATAAAATGCCAACTGTGTGACTCCCACTGCTGCAGCCAGCGAAGAGCAGGCTTTTTCCTGAACAGCTTCATCCCAAGGTGCAGTGGTGCCCCACCTCCAGTGATCCGCAGGTTTGAGATACAAAGCCTGGGGCTAGGACGAGGTTGGCAAGAGATGTCCATGCAAAGAAGACTCCTGGGGGGTTGCAGCTCCAACAAAGAGTTTTGGAAGCACAGCAGACCAGATCAGTGCTGGCAGCAGATGATCCTCTTGCTGCAGAGCATTGAAGAGCTCTGTTTCATCAACAGCTGATGACTTACCACAAAGTTTAGAGGTATTAAGAGACACCTCACTGAAACACATGGTCTTGAGACACCCTCCCTTGGCACATGCATAAGCTAATGCTGCCATCTGACCTGAAAAAAGCAAGTGAACCTCTTCAGCTCTTGGCAAGCAGCTGGGCCTGGAGGGTGTCCATCAACACTCAAGAGGCTTGTCTGAAGTTCATGCCAATGGAGAAGTGCTGAGGAGATCCCCATTGCGTGGAGGGCTGGGTCATTTCCAGGGCAGAGCTGCCTGCAGAGCCCCTCTGCTGGTGATGCTGAGAGTGTGGGATGGGGAGTGCTCCCCAGCTGACGGTCAGAGCTGGGGTCCAGGATGAGCATCCTGGTTCTCACCAACACTGAATCACCCCTAACCAGCACAGGCCCATGGGGAAGGCCAGCAGCATGGGTTTTACCCCATGTTGGCACTGCTGGGCAGAGGGTGATTATAGCAGATGGGTGAGACAACAGGGAAGGCCCAAGACCCCCCCCCAGAACAGCTTCAGCTAGGGGGTTCAAAGTGCTAGCTGAGCCAGACCTCCATCCCACCACAGCCTTGACACAACAACCAGCCCACACCCTCTTTATTGAATAAACCTTAAGAATAAAGAATAAAACAGGGGTTTGATGGGCAGGAGCATGTAGCAGGGGCTAAGACAGCACTATTGTGTGACACTGGGACACCTCAGGTCACCCATGGCTTTAAGGGGCACATCCTTAAGCCCTGACACTATAGGCATCACAGAGAAAATGTCCCACCTTCATGTTACTTGCAGTATTTGTCTTTCATTAAGAGATGACAAAGATGACCTTCAGAACAAGCAGATCAGGGATGGGGTTTTGGCCTCTGTGTGCCTGAGGGATCATACAGAGCTGCAGGGAATGGTATCCACTGATGGACATGAAGCTCATTTAATAACTGGGCAATATTTCACACTCTGAAGTTTCTTTAGGCACATGTTACAAATTTCCAAGTGAAATATTAAACACCAGTTGAAGCACATTGGAAGTGACATCCTTCAAACAGAGGGCTTTCCTTTTTAGAATCCTGTAATGAAACCAAGCTGGTTTTACAGCTTCCAATCTTCTGCCAGGTATGCTGGGCATTGTGAGGCTCCAGCAGACACCACAGCAGCCCTCCTGCAGCTGGCACTAATAGATAGGGGTTATCTTGCAGGGGTTTTTCCTCCTTAATTAGTTTTGGCCGAGCTCCCACGGATTAGGTGTCTGGCAGGAAAGCCGGGCTTGTATCGATCCTTTTTCTCACAGAGTCACTGAACGACACTCCGGGAGTCCCTTTCAGCTCACATTCCCATATAAATCTAAGCAGGGTGTGAACAAACTAACAGCAGACTCTCACTTGCACCAGCGACATGGAAAAGTTTGCAAGAAACTTCAGTGCACACAGCAGTGGCTATCAGTCACCAACAGCTCAAGAAAGTAAGAGGGAAATGAGAGGAATCCTGTATTTGTGTCCCCTTTTCACATGCAGTAAGCGTGAGTAAATAAACGGGGAGCCACAGCGGATGCCCCAGCCTGTCCTGATGGGCTGTGTGACTGCACCGCTCACACATGTGCCTCCCTGCAGTTATTTCTACCCCGGCCATTCACACACGATGGGGACAGCGAAGATCCACAGCACAGTGCCACGTGAGCACATGTTGCTGAAGGCAAAAGTGAACAGAAACAAAGCCAGCCCAGAGACAACTTCTGTAGCTTGGGAGAGAGGGACTGGGGCTGCTCTTGTCATGTTCCCACAGTGATGAAAGTTGATTTCAAGGCAAATCAGAGGTTTGTGGAGCAGTCAGAGAAAGTGGGAAGCCAGCTGCTGACCCTGCAGGTACGCACCCTCCTTCCCCAGCTAAAGGCATCACAGTTTAAGTTACCTTCACCCCCAGCCACAACCAATCCCTTGCACTCACCTTGGCTGATCTTTATGTTGGTCTGAGGGAACGCCTGGGCAGCGAACAACGCCGTGGAGAGGAGCGCACACACCTCCCACCCGGTGCCCATGGCCAGGAGGGAGGACAGCGCTCCCAGCCCCCGCAGGCAGCCGGCTGCAGGGGTCACCGCTCTGCCCGGGGCCTCCGAGCAGTGCCAGGGAGGCTGCCGGCGCGGAGCTGGATATAGGCGCTGTGCTGCTCCCTCCCCCAGAACAGCGGCTCTCCCGGCGACACACACCTCCCACCAGCGCTGCCGGATCCCGGCCGCGATCACCGCATCCCACCCCAAGGGACCTGCGCCCAGACCTTCGCCCCAGCCTGGCTCATGGGGTGCACGCCTCCTCCCAGAGAACCTTTGTCACACGCTGCAAGCAAGCAAGGAAATCCCTGACCTACCCCCAGTTGCTTCCTGAGACACGATTATGTGTCCTCACTTGAGCCCTACCCAGCTGGCTGCCTTCCCGCAGGGATGCTGGTGGGCATCAGCAGCCAGGTGCAGAGCAGAGAGGGGCTCGGGGCAGACCTCCACCTTGGGGTGACTGAGCAACATGCCCTTTGCCTGCTGTGCAAGGCTGGCAGCCCACCGAGCACAAGACAAGGTTAGGAGCTGGAAGCAAGGGCTGTGTTAACACAGGAAGCTGTGGCAGTTGGACACGCTGGGTCAGGCAGAGAGGGTGCCAGGGCTGCAGGGGAGCACTGCCTTGTGCAGGCTTGGCACAGCCTGTAATTGTGGGGTTTAACCCGTTTTGTGCTTTTATTTATTTATAACCAGCAACAGGCAATGCTTTGACACAATAAAACATCTTGGAAGAGGGCATCACCAGGTGTGCCGCAGGTCCAAGGCTGGTTCAGGGGCTCACACTCTGCCCATCTGCCAGGTCCATGCAGTCCTGTAACAGCAGAAAACCTTCAGCATCAGGCAGCAGTCCTACTGTTAACAGTCTGTATGACCTACCACGTCTCCTTCATGTGGTCAATTCTGGGGGAAATAAAATCCAGATTTTTAAAACTCACTGGTTAGGGAAAACAATATAGGCAAAATACTATGAAATTGTGTGGTCCTGCTCCATTTCCAGTTTACACCTTAAATGAGCATCGAATGAACTGCTTGGGAACACACTCAATGGTATTTCCTTCTTATTCTTAGCTACAGGTTAAAGTTTTCAGTATTTTCTGGGACTTCAGTTGGAACAACCCATTTTTACAGGCACGATTCAACTAGAAACAGTTTGGGGTGACACAAAGCTTTCAGTATAGTAAAACATCCAGACTTACTCCAGAGACAGTAACTAATTCAATTGACTTTCATATATTAAATTTTCTTTGCATTAAGTAAAACCTTCTAGGAAAACTCCTCCCCCTGTCCTCCCATTTGCAGCTCCATACATTCATCTGAAACTGCGTGTCTCAAGGAAAAGTCTGCTGATGCATCAGAGCACTAAAAAGAAGGAATTTTGATTAGGCATGCCTTCTCCCTTCTTAACTGTGTGCCATCCCCAGATAAAACCAGTGTTACAAGCAATTAACAGCAAACCATGGAACAAAACTCTTTGAGCATATTAATCTACTCCCAAAGCACAAGTGTTTATGCTTGAAGAGGGAGCAGAGACCCAGAGTAACTTTAATGCTGTCTCTAGCAGCAGACCCCCAGCGCAGGGGGAGCACTGAGCTCCCCATGCCCGGCACAGCAGCTGGACACCAGCTTTGCTCCCAGCGCAGGGAGAGTACACACACGTCACGCACGCAGAGCTGGCTGCAGCCCCAGCTGCACTTGGGGTTATCTTCTGATTTCACAAAGCATGAGATGTGCTTTACCTGCTGGATGCAGCCCCAGAAGCACAGACACGTCTCGTGTACTCAGCCCTTCTGCTCCTCTCCTGCCTCATGCTGTTTTCTGATTGCCCTCCAGGTCGGGAGCTCCTCAATGTGCTTTCCCTGACCTCCCCTCAGGGTTCCCTCACCAATTTTTGGCATCATATGTACATGACACCCCCCTCCCTGTGAAACAGATACCTCATGTCTCCAAGGACAGACTAAGGGGCAAGAGTGCCTTCTGTTCACTTTTATCCCCAACGCTTGAGCAAAGCATGTGGCAGGTCTCAGATCAGCTTCCACTGACGCCAGAGCTTTTGCTGCTGCCCACAGATACCACTTGGAAGAACACTAATGTCAATGGCAGTGACTGCTGAAACCACAGGCCCTTGTCTGAGCCCGAGTTACAGGAAGAGACTGGCCTCCTACAGTGTGTGTTTTCCCAGGACACACCATGGGCTCCCTCTCCACTGTGATTCATTGATGAGACAAACCAGGAGGAAGCCAGAGTGTTCTCTGGCTATCAACCTCACTGCAAGATTTGCTATCAACCTCACTGCAAGACAGAGGAGGAGTTTCACCTTGCAGAGAGGCAGGTTAGAATTGAAACCCACCATCCACAATATGCTCAGAAAGAGGACATCCTCTATCCAACACCGTGCCCTACCTGGGAGCAGGGTGTCCGCACTTTTAAGTTTCCCAAGCCACTGAGAGATAGCTTCTAGATATGGAGCAGAGACAGCATTTCTTGTAGCCTCTTGCATTCTCTGCATTCCTTCCTCCACAATGGCAGGGTCACCATATCAGACTTTGCTGTTGCATGGAGAACACACGTGGTAATGCTTTGAGTGCAGAAGAGAATGAAACACACACTGCAATGTAAACTGTAGGAGGTCCCAGGCTGAATCCTGGTATCAGAGTTACAACACAGACCTTCACGCTGGACCACAGACATCCTGGACAGCAGCAAGGATACTGACCAACACAGACATCTGCCCAAACAAGCACTAAGCTTTTTAACACTCAACTAACTGCAGCAGCCAAGCAACAAATGGAGGTGAAATAGTCACATGCATGTATTGTTTTCTTTCTAAAAACCAAAATATGAAAAGTAAGGAGACAATGGAACTTCATTCTGTGCCGCACTTGATGAACATAAGGGAGGGAGATGGCTGCTGCCCGCCCTACCACGTGCCAGCTCTAGATGGCTATTGCTCTGGAACCTGAGGACCAGCGTGGCTGCAGGAAGGCTCTGCACTGCAGGGTGCATGGAGTGGGCCATGGGCATGGGTAGAGGCCATGGGCTACCCCCAGTAACTTCACAGGTCACCTAGGGAGCCACAGCCCGAGGCCCTTCCACACCTCTGTTCCATCACAGCAGCACGGATGTGGCAGCAGAGCCAAACCGTCCGTAACACTGTGAGGCTTTCCAGTCCAACACAAATAAACACTGCTGAAGACAGAACAGATCCCTCCTCCTCCACAATTAACACATGGAAAGACAACAAAGTCACGAGCCAGTCCCAGCTCTCTCCTGGGCAATGCCTTTGTTGTTCCATTTCTTGAATGGGCTGTAAGCAAGGTACAGATTTTTATGCAGTCTCAATGTTGATAAAGAGAGCAATAAAAACCAATAATATAGGCCCACCCCTGCAAAGAATCAAAACCCAAACCTAGTGCAGAAACTTGACACTTCCACCTCGCAGTGTGTCAATGTGTTCTGGTTGGGAACCACACAGGTCCAGACCAATGGCTCACTCACTCCACCAGTCTCCATCATCTGGTCCCTAGTTTCTCTCAAATGGCTCCTGGTTCACCGCAGTGAGTAACAAGGGGGCAAAAGCCATCACCTTGGCTTTTCTTGTGCCACAAGTACAACGAATGGAGCTCAACACAAAAATGAATTCTGCCAACAAGTATCACCCCATTCTACGTGCCACAATTAAATAGAATTTTATTTTCAATAAATATACAATCTACATCAATACCAGACAATATGCTGTGAAAAAATAAAATGTACAGAAGCAACCAACAGGACAGCTTGACCGTAGCTAAGTTCACTTGGTGACCTGGAGAACTACCTGGGTTAACACACACAACACAGAAAGAGCCACTGCAGTCTGTGAGAGAATCGAAATCATGTATTTTGGGTCTTCTTAACTGCAAAAGTCCCCAGAGCAGGTTTCTTTTGCACAACACGGGTTTGAAAAGACATGAGCTGGCTTTCCCAGTACAAATGCTATTGGAAATGTTTACTTTGCTACATCATCACTGTACCTACTGGACGCACACAGGCTGCTATTGAGAGTGGCACATCTCACTGCTGACATGACATCGGATCCGTTTGACGCGGGGCCGCACGGCCGCACGCGTGCCCCAGCACACACATGTACATACTAACAGGAGCTTAACTCTGTTAAACTAGAACAAGGACAAAACTGGAGTCAGAATCGATTTCACCACAGGTTCTACCGCTTAAAAAAATACTCTAGCCTAATTACCACGTTCACCAACGAGAGCACACAGGTACTTATATCTCTGAGAGGATGAGCCATGGATTTGGACTGGAAGGACAGCGGAGGCAACTCCCAACTCCTCCACCCGCTCAGCGCTTGCTGCAGCACCTCCACACACAGCCTGCTCACACTCCACCATGCGGGATGAGAACAGCCAAGTGGTGCTGGGTGCGAGCTGCGAGAGGTCCAGCCAGGAGGGACACCGGTGGTCCCGGGGCAACAGCTGGGAGCCGGTGGGACATGGTTCACAGAGGCCAGCGTGGCCAGTTGGGTGCTGGCAGCTGCTTCAATCCAACAGAGCTGCCATGGGGTGCGTGTAGGGTGTGAGGTGGGGTGGTTCGGTCGGTGGTTTATTCATGTGCCTTGTCCACCTGCTTGGCCTGGGTGCTGTTAGTCCCCACCTCATGTTACCTCCAGGGATGCTGGAGACACGCGGTCGCACTCCTCCCGGGACCGCAGGCTGTGCCACTGCTCCACGGCCGTCCGGTGTGCATTGAGCATCCGACGCCAGTGGTTGGACTCAGGCGCCCCTGTTGAGTACTGCCCGATCACGATCCTCCCGATGAAGTCGTTGCTGCTCTTCACGTTGTGCCCATACACTGGAGGGAGCAGAGACAGAGACTGGTCAAGGCAAAAGCATTGCTTGTCCACCCAGAGCCCTGCCCCCAGAAAGCCAAACATCCTGCAAAAGCCCCCTCACCCAGCACACCAGATGCCAGTGTCATTGGTATATAGCTCAGCATCTCAAAAATGTTAGAGACAAATCAGGAGTTTGAAAGGGATAAGATAAGCTGTACTACCAACCGAAATACAATTCAAACAAATGACACAAATCGGCAGTTATCATGGTATTTAGCAAGAGTAGGTAAAGTAGAATCATGGAATGGCTTGGGCTGGAAGGGACCTGAAAGCTCACCCAGTTCCAGTCTCCCTGCCACAGGCAGGGACACCTCCCACTAGACCAGGTCAATCCAAACCCCGTCCAACCTTGCTCTGAAGTAGAATTATATCAGATAAAGGCATGACAAAAGCTCTGCTTGGTCACTGTGAAACAGTAAAAGCAGACAAGCAGCCTACATCTGTGTAAAGGAAGAAGCAGCATCTCAAGC